CCAGTTTTGGTAATGATTGATTTGTAAAATTATTGAGGGGGAAAAAATGAGAAAGTAGAGCTTATCCCAAAAACATTTATTTCCCTTTAGGATCAAATTTGAGTATAAATTAAAACATCTTGGTGGTTACAATGAAAATGAACTACTATAACAGGTTTATTTAAACCCCAGAAAACATATCTTTCTGATTTTTTTTTCTTAACAGAATTACATCATGAAAGCACATTTGGTGAATTTATTGGAAGTTTTATTCTGGCTGCTAAAAATCTCTGATTTCTGGTTGTATGAGTTTCCTAATTGGACTCTTAAATTATTCAACTGCTCAGACACACTTGGTGCAAGCAGGAAATAATTATAAGTAACAATAACAATGTTATCCTTTTAACCGGTATTTCTTCCTTTTTTTTTTTCTTTTAGGAATTCATTTCATATCCTATGTTACTTCCAAAAAGTTTCCTCTGCTATTTTTAAAATGTGATTTGATGTGTCTGAGGAAGAAACCTCCTCTCCAGTGGATTTAAAACTTAGGTTTCTATTAGATTATTTAATCCTAAGAATGCCAAAATAAATGTTCCCATCACCTGTAAAAGTTAGTCTTTATATGATTTAGTGTCAAAGATGATTTCATATAATGAGGTACAAAGTGTTAGTTACTGTCTCATAGCCTCCCGATCCTCAAGTTCTTGTTCTAAATGTCAAATTTTCACTAATGGAGAAGCCAGAGCAAAAATATAAAGTTATGAGAGAAAATACTATATAAATTTATTTGCCATCTAAATTATTTGATGTAATTTTTACTGTTTTATGTCTCCCTACTGTATTAATTTCACTGTACTATGTACATTTTTTCAATTTCTTTTCTGAATATGAGATAAACTGGTGGTCCATATTGAAAGGAGAAAAGCAAGCATTGAAAAATCAAAATATGTAAAAAACGTCTTGGGCCTTACCCAGTTTGGCTCAGTGGACAGAGCGTCTGCCCTCAGAATGAAGGCTCCCGAGTTTGATTTCGGTCAAGGGTACATACCTCAGTTGCAGGTTCAATCCCTGGCCCTGGTTAGGGCGGGTGTGGGAGGCAACCAATGGATGTGTCTTTCTCACACTGATTTTCTCTCTCTCTGTCTCTCCCCCCTTCCACTCTCTCTAAAAATCAATGAAAAATATCCTCAAAGTAAATAAATAAATAAATAAACAAACAAATAAGTAAATAAATGCACTGTTTCTCATTTCTTAATGTCACCTTCATTGAGACATAAAATCTTAGGGCGATGTTTTATTTAAAAAATGTCTTGGGCTTGGCAACACCATGATTGAGGCCTAGAGAATTTCTTAATTCATTTGTCAAGTTTCCTTTTGCTTTTGTGTGAACAGTGTCAGGAAGGAGAACTTTGACAGCACCATGTCTCACACCCAGAACACTGTATCCCCTCATCCTTTGTTCCTGGAACACACTTGGGTGATAGGAAGAGAGGAATAGTATGAAGCCATGTTTCAAGAAAAAGTAGGTTATCTCACTGCTCTTAAAGGTAACATTCGCCCATCACTGCAAAGGAATTTTCAGAATTTACATCTATTAACCTATAGAGTATAAATGGCTTTATGTTCCTTAGGTTATTGATTTTTAGAGGGAGAGAAAGGGACAGGGATAGATAGAGAGAAAAACATCAATGATGAGAACCATCCATCTGCTGCCTCCTGAATGCCCTCTACTGGAGATCGAGCCCGCAACCCCAGCATGTGCCCTGACTGGGAATACAACCTGTGACCTCTTGGGTCTACCCTCAACTGCTGAGCCACACCAGCCGGGCGATTATTTTCATTTTATAAGGAAATGTAATGATATAGATTCATGAACTGGTGAGGGGCAGGACCAGATCTGCACCGTGGTGATCTGGCTCTGCAGTCAGGGGTCTTGACCCCTGCTCTATACTCCTTAATTACTAGGGTCATATAATCATAAAAGGGCTAAGTAATGTATTTACATTTTTTTCAAAATAACTGTGGAGAGAAAAAGGCTTTAAAAATAGGAACTTTGAGTCTTACGTTTTTATGGGATATCAGAAAAGCTAGTTATAAATTTTGCCTATGAAATATATATTTGCAAGCTTGTTTTAAAAAATAATTTTTGGAGTTCAAATCCTATTCCAGAAGATCAATGTCTGCATGGTACATTGTGCATAATTTAATTTTCCCAGTTGAACATCTTGACACTCTATGAACCATGAATGCATGAAATAGGAATTCCAAATGTCTTCCACATGGTGAGAGGACTTTCTAGTACTTGTGCAGGAAGCTGAAGAGCAATTTGAAATTAAGCTATGCCTGTTCTTAGTGACTTTTATTATGTATGCCTAAGGTAGTAGCACTTTCTCTGAGTGGGACCCTGAGGTGACAGATGAGTCTGCTGTCTGTATTTAGGCACTTTGCTCATTTCCTGAGAGCTGTGTGGAAGGCATTTGGATGCTCATTAAATTTCCAACCATTGCCCGAGTGCAACAGGTGGCAAATCAAAGCTTCCCTGGTATGTCATGGCTGGTTTCCTCAATGTCTTGGAAATAACGGATGGCATTTGCATGCTCTCCGTAGCACCAGCAGATAAGAAGGAGATGAATAGCAACAGGAAGTATTTCCAAAGCATAAACAAACACACAAGTTTAGGGAGGTTATGACTAATGTTCTTGCTACTGCACTTTCTAAATACATACACAGTGGTTTCATCTTTTAAATATTGTTATCTTTCAAACTATGAAATCATGAACTCTCCTGTGGCTAGCTACCTAATAAAAGCAGGTATATTCAAGGAATAATAACATCACAATTTAATGGAGCTATATCATAAAATTACAAACTTATAACTCTACATTTATGACTATTCAATGAGTACTAATGACTATGATATGTTCTTAAATTGTCTCCTTTACAAAATTACTTATTTATACCGAGAACCTTCTACATTATAAGGAAAGCATGTCAGTCACATCCTGAACCAGAGTGAGAAGACAGGCTTATTCATCCAAAAATAGAATCTGTGATTTAAGTAAACTTTTAGATAGTTACCCAACAGTCCGTGGTAATTATACAGAAAAGGTTTTTGTCACTAGAATCACTAGTCAACGTTGGAAAAGGAAAAAGAATTGTCAACTATATGATCTTGACAGAATTTGACTGGCAGTTGCCTATGACTCTAGGAATAAAAGCATTTACGGGGGGTGGCAAATCACCAATATTTTTCCCGATTTGAAAGAGTTTGAAACATTCAGATTAGTCCACAGATGACTAGAAAAATGACCTGGGGTATTTTAGGACATAAAATAACTAAAAGGTAATGATAATAAACAGTAGTAACTGAAATTGTTTTAAAGAAAAAGGACTCAATACCGTCACCCTATATATGCTCTCTCTCAACAAGAAAGTGCCTCATGCTCAGGGGAAGAAACAACTGTATTTCAAGGCTGCATGGAGATCCCTGCTGCGGACCTGGTGTTGGCAGCCCCTCACCCTGCAGGCAAGCGCTGCAGGAGACGCAGCCCAGGTCCTTCCAAAACGCTCCTTTTAAATGCCTTCCTCTTATTTATAGTGCTACAAGGTTCTTTATAATTAATGCCGACTATGACTTTCTTCAGTTTGTTTTAAAAAATCTATGACCTTCCAATCATTTTTAAAAAGCTCCTTTTTTAAATGTGAGAGAACTACTAAGGAACTTCCATAAATTAACTCTGTAATATGAAATCACATATTCATTTATTAAGTTATTTTGGCTAAATATCAAATGATAAGGAAATAATTTGGCTTTTTAGTAAACTATTGTCATAGAGTATACTTTTTCCATGGAAGAAACCAAGGATTAATAATACATTAAAAACACACATCTGAACTTCAATAAACTAATCTGAAACCATCGAACAAAAAGCAGAACCAAAGTTTCTGAGTGCCAACCTAGAAGACATAGCTTTCATGTCTGTTAATTACACTAAATATACCCATAAAATATTATGTATGATACCAGATGATGTCTGGGAGCTCAATAATTTAACTTATTTATTCTAAAATCTTATAATTTCATCTAACACACTTCAGATACAACCTTCATAAAACAGTATACACAACCCTCACAGTGAAACTAGGAACATTAATTTTAGAATGGTCTAATACATACTGGAGATTAATTTAAAACTCTACAAGGTGATAACAATAAAAATATATTTTTAAAAAAACCCACCTCTATAAAGTGAGAAAAATGTAAGGAAAAATCTACTTGCATTGTGTTTCCCTATCAAACAGCTCTGGAATTTAAAAAAGAACTTTAAAATAAGAAGCTGATTTTAAGGGAGTACCTACAACTAAACAGAGCTTTTAAGCCTTCTCCGTTGCCATGTTGAAAACTTTTGAACAATTAAAAAATATTTCTTAACATTTTTAGATGGTTTAAAAATATGTAAATGATGTTTTAAACTAAGTTTTACACAATTATTTCAAAAGATACATAAAAAATTTATGGGAACGTATGAGTCAAAGTAGTTTAGTAAAATGATTTGTACTTTTCAGTCAGAATTATTGACAGGAAGTGGAAGCACAAAACATTTTAGAGGGATTGTTATAATGAGCGAATCATAAAAACAGCTGCCCAAGTGTTAGATTTATGGGGATGTGAACACTATAATTCTGGTAAAATATCTGTTAAGATCTTAAGAATAAAGCTAAATGTGAAGGTAGGCATTCTAGACTTTAAAGAATTTCTTATTTCCAACAAAGTGGCTTTTACATTTATTTAAGTTAGGGGCATATTAGGTTACATAACAGAAAATATAGTCCAGAGAGTGATGGAAAACTTTAAAAATACCTATGCTTAATTTTTAATTAAAAAATTCAAGTGGCTGAGAGGTGAGTATTTAAAGAACAACACTATCTTTTCAGTTTTCATTCCCCTCCTATCTTTGGGCAATTTCTGTGACTCTCACACTTGCAGTTCTATGAAGCCAAGGCTGTCAGTCAGTATTTACCTTTATCCCCGGGAGTCCAGGAAGCCCAGGAAGCCCTGGTTCACCCTACACAGGAAAATCACACAACATTATAGAACAATATTCACTCATTCACGGTCTCCGGAGAAAAGCATGGCAAGTGTTCCTCACCGGATGCTTGCCATCTGCATATACACTGTCTCCTTTCAAGAACTTGGTGAGATTATACAGCTCAGTCAACTCTTGATTCAGAATTGGTTGACCCTTTTGCAGATTTTCCTGCCAGTTCACTGCTCACTGGCATCTCTACCAGAAGGCAAGAAAGAGAAGCAAAAGGAGAACGAGCTCCCACGTTTTATTAATTCCTGGTAAATGGTTTGCTGGGGAGGCCGAAGCTCTGCTGAAGTGAGGATTATGCGTGCATCTGAAGAACGCCTCCGAGCCCAGTCTCTCTTACCTCAGATAATCAAGAGTTGGCTGTGTGAACAGATGGTTACATCAACACAATATACATTAAAAGTCGTGCTCACTTTTAATAAGTATAGTAAGATTTCTTTTCCATTCCTGAATGATGAGAAGATAAATGCATGGTTAATATTATACTTAACTCCAGCCCATATTTCTGACAATTGTTGAGTCTGGGTAACCCTGCCTAGCAATTTAGGGCTAATGGTACCATGCAGCTGTTCCTGAGTACAGGTCTCAGATTAAGTGGCAGATTTGGGGTGAGCACACTGGAGTCATGATTAACCTTCTCATTTTCACAGAATGGTCTACATTATTTTAAGTACAAAGTATAGTGACAAGAGGTTACATGCTTAGAAAATCTCCTGAATTCCACTAAAGAAGCATAATGGAATTGCTGGAGAAAATGAAAGTCCATCTTGTGCTGGATTGAGGTGACTATTTGTGGAAAGTAAAAGGGTTACACATTTTCACGACGGTCAGTCATTGGGAAGATAACTATACTGAGACAGGAGTATCAAACTAATAAAGTGGTAGAGGAAGGTATTTCTTTTCATCTAAATGCTTTAACAACCTTCATTTCAAAAAAAATCTACTAAGAACAATCAAACATTTCATTTTTTAATATTATTACCTTCCAATTATGAAGAGTCATAACTTGCTCTAGTATTATCACTAAATGGCGTCATCTACTGTGGATTAAGCTGTATGGTTAGACACAGAAGGACAATGACTTTCCTGATGGTTTAGGTCAAAGGTGCTTCAGGAATGAAAAAGAAAAGCTATTATGTATGAAACTACCAATAGAAGTTTGCATTGTGAACGAGAACACTAAGATGAGATTAAGCCAGAGAAGAAAGGATGATTACTAAGCATTTGCTATTTCATTCAAATAATACCTGTCCAAATAAACTATAATTCATACAGATACTACTTTATATATTTGATTTTCTTTTTTCTTCCTCCTTTTTCCTTCAATCAATTAATTTAGGAAGATTTAGTAAAAAGTGCTGGTATCCATATTTTACTGAAGATTCTCTTTTACTTTATTTAATATATATTAATATATATATTATACTGATTTCAGAGAGGAAGGGAGAGGGAGAGAGAGATAGAAACATCAATGATGAGAATCACTGATTGGCTGCCTCCTACATGCCCCACGCTGGGGATTGAGCCTGTAACCCGGACATGTGCCCTGATCAGGAATCGAACTGTGACCTTCTGGTTCATAGGCCGACTCTCAATTACTGAGCCACACCGGCCAGGCAATTCTCTTTTATTTAAAAAAAAAAAAAAAAAAAAAAAGGCCCTGGAAAATACTACATTGCAGTAGAGTATACAACCAAAAAAGTAAATCTATTGGTGACAAATCTGTAGTTCTGTATTGTTTTAGAAAAGTCTCCTAAAACTCAGGACATTCTATTTGAAACATATGTGAAAATGTATAGGTTTTAACACTGTTTCCCAGCAGTTCTCACCACACCCTTCCCTCTGGCCAAATTAAAAGGATCATATGACTAATTTGAAGAAAGATATTTATATACACATGCACATATAGACACACACCCATGTTTTCTAACAATGAGAATGACTTATAAGATATTATGGAATATATTTTAATGTAGATTGAATACTTAGAGACTTTGAGCATATAGTTGTTCCTTACATTATATGTGTATGTATGCATGTAAGTGTAGAGGTTATAAATGTATATATTAATGAACAAATGTTTCAGAAATTAATATTTCATAGTCTTGTATTTTCATAAATTTGACATTTCCAAATTTATGTTTACTTAAAAAGTGGCCTAAGAAAAGATTATAAAATATTTAATGTTATGCGTTGCGGAACATCTCTTAACAGTTTTAGGAAGATATTTCTTCCTATATAAAATTTCTATCTTTATACCATTAAGGCTTATTTTCAAATTAAGAGAGAGTAATTTAGTTAATTCCTCCATTCTTGCCTACTCCTTGGTTCAGAAGCTTCTCTGAGTTGAGTTCTTGGGTATACACCACCCAAGGTGAGATCTAGGTCATAATTAAGAATTGGTTTGTTATTCCACTTGAAGAATACTTGTCCAAGTAGACTAAAAGTCACACAGATACATTATACTTCTGCTTTCCTTTCCCTTTCACTCTTTTCCCTACACCTTAGGAGGTCTCTGTCTACTGTCAAAGTAAGAACACTGCCTTTACCCTATGTTCCTGTGATGGTCCACTGTCCTTCCTGATAGAGTTCAACTGTGAGAGTCCCTTCCAATGGGGGATCAAGTATCTTTATTTACAAAGAGAAGTTGGGAAGGAAAGGATTATGTGGTGAAACACAATATCTACACACTTCATAAACATATATACACACTCTAACTCATCTATCAATCACAAATAAAATACTAGACAGTGGAAACTAATCAAGGGGCTTTTCATTTTCTATTTTTTCTGGGAATGTCCCACATGCAAGAGCTTAAGTGCCAGTGAACTCACAGCACAGTTTTGCAATGGTGAGAAAAGGGCCATGAGAGATCTCTTGAATTGATTTTGTAGTCACTTCTGTTTGCCATTTTCTAATCTAAGTAAGCAAGCAAGCATGGAAATACTCTACTTTTAAATTAATGTTGGGGTAAGTATTGCTAAATCCAGACATTAGACAAAGGAAGTCATAAATATTGTGGGAAAGTGAGATTGCGTCAAAGGGTAGAATCTGGCCTAAATATTAATGAAAAAGATGCTGCTCATTTCAGGGCACATGTTCATTCAGGCTGGCTGAAAACTTCCCTCAATAATAATTTAAAACAGGTGCTTGATGAAATATAAAAGAAATTCAATGTTTCCATATGCAAATCTACAAACTCCCAGAAATGCATCTGAAGTATATTTCTAAAAATTTATGACAAGGCAATGTTTTATCAAGCAACTGAAAATCAATTTTGATCTTCATTAGCTGGGTGGAGGGGGTTTGGTGCAGGTGTGGAGGAATTGAGCAAAAGAGAAAAAACTCACGAACATGAACGATAGTGTGGTAATTGCAGGGGGATGGAGGAGGGCTGAGGGAGGTGGAGAAGGGTATAGGGAGGATAATGGTGATGGGAGGAGATTTGACTTGGGGTGGTGAACACACCATACAGTGTACAGATAAGGTGTTATGGAATTGTGCACCCGAAACCTGTATAACTTCATTAACCAGTGTCTTCTCAGTAAATTCAATAAAAAGGGAAAAATTAAAATAAAAAATTAAAAAGTGATAAAAAGATATTAATGGTTGCAGAGATTTCTTTCAGAGATATCACAGAATTGGAAAGCAGCTTAAATTTAGCCTGTAATTTTTACTAGGGGACCTAAAATTAGATCATTGGAGAAGATGAGTTGTTTTTTGTTGTTGTTTTTCAAACCAAAGCCGACCATGGATCTCTATTAGGATGGCATCGCTAATTTCAAATTTCTTAAGTAAAGAATCAAGAGGAAATCTTAGGAATTGAAGAGCAAAATTTTCAGAGTTCTGCTGGGCTCTTTGGAAAAGTCTCAACTTTGCCTGAAACTGGGCCGGATGAATCATTACTCTTAGATTCTTAGTTTCTAGAGGGAAATCTATTTTTAAAGTAGAGAAACATTTAAAGAATGTGAAAGACTCAAAAATTACTTTAAACCCACCAGTTTAAAACAAAGCAATGATCCTCTCAGTGACTTCAAGAATGTGGGGACAATCATTTTATCACGTTTTAGGGTTCCAAACTACTACAAGGGAATTGATTCTCTCTTTCCCTTTACACGAATGAGATAAATTCTATGTTTTTATTCATGTCCTTCCCCCACCCCCGCCCCCCTACATCAGCTACTTCTAGGCAAAGACAGAATCATGCTCTTCAGAGATTTAACCTAATGGGGAATTCACATGTACTTGTTAGCTATAATATGTCTGTTATCTCAAATCTGACTGCACTGGGCACTGATGGCCAGATGCGGTGTTAATAGACTGCTAAGAGTTGTTTCCTGCCTCAGACTCAAACGAGAATATGGATCTAAACACATTCACTGCATGTTCTCTCATGCATCCCTGAAGTGAAGCACAAATGATAAAAATAAAATTATGTCTATATCTATAGATTGGTTAAAGTGGTTTGGCTAGTGTCTGTAATTAAATTTCAGTTCATGAACAAACCTCTTTGTATAATGTAACAGTCAATGCACAGATAGATATTATTCACAGAAAAATTGTCAGTAGGGTAGTATTTGAAACGAGAGGAAAAGGAATATAATTTTAAAAGAACTGTCCATCCTTCCCTATTGAAACCACTTAGTAAATATTCATTTCTTCTCATGAAAGATAGAAACATGCACAGTGTCTTTAAACGTGCAAGGTAAATTGTTGCATTCCAACCCAGCTGGTCTTTGTCAGGCTCAGCACATGCAGACTTTAGTTCATTAGGCATCCTTTTACACACACACACACAGTGTGTTTTCACTTCTGTGGCAGCATCACCCCTTTTAAAACGCAAAACAATCAACAACGCTCAGCATGCAAAGCACAAAACCCACCTCATTTTGCAACAGTCATTCTCCTACTACACAGCGGATAGTAGATAGAAAATGGTGACACAGTGCAAAGATCACACTAAAATAAAGATATTACCTTTTGCCCTGGACGACCAGATTCTCCAGGTTCTCCCTGGCCAAAGAAAGCCAAAGATGAAAAGGACAGTCTTACAAGAATTTTCCAAAACCCTTATGCCTCTGGACACGCTCACAGAGATGGCCCAGCCTCCTTGATCACATATATTTCATTTATTTTATTCTGTTACTCTACATCTCACTAGACAAAGGAAATGCTTTTTTTTTTTTTTTCTGTGAATATACCTAAAGCTCACATCCAAATCCACATTTCCATAAAAACCAATCAGAAAGGGAAGAGAAGGCCAGATCTCTTATTAAGCCTTTATCAGATTTCCAGCAGATACTTCCTGTTGTATTTGGAGGCTGATCATTGCAGGAGAATAGGAACAGTTATAACCATCAGTGGTGGTAAAAGAGAAGAGAAAGCAGAGGCTTATAAAAATAAAAACTGTAACTCCTGGGGAACACGCTCTCGCAAGGTTAGCGTTACCTTAATTCCTGCAGCAGATGATCCAGGGTCACCCTAAAATAAAATCCATGAGAGATTATTCCACAAATTATGGGAACAGGAAACACACAAGTACACAGAGAGCCATTATCGACAAGGGCACTCAAGGGAACCCCATGACTAATGGGCTTAACTAGGCTCCCGAAGATTTTGTATCAATCTGTCAGCTGTTAAGATGTCAACAATTTCCAAGATAAACAATGTACTTTCTAAAAACATGGGTTTACTTTGAATGCAAAATACATAAGGACCATTATATTTTTGGAAATTACAAATATATAAATAAGGGCCTTCCCCTTGATCTACTGCTAAAATTGTGTTCTAAAGCAATACATTATAATTTTGGGGATCTGGAATTTTGGTTTTCTCTCTGTTTCTGGAATTTATTAATGTCAATGGCTATCATTTAGTGGGAGTTCCCTGACCCTTCCAGTCTTCACAAAGTCAGGGTTCAACGGATGAAGTCAAGGGTTAATGACGCTGTGCTGGAAAAAGCCACGCAGCATGTCAGCTGGCCTCCCCTGGAAGCATTGTCCCAGTTAGGACCGGCACGTTTTTTCCAGCTTTACACTTATTTCATTGTAACCCAGTCACCCGAAAGTTACAGAATGATAAATGGCTTGTGGGTGACAGGGACACATGGAAGATCTGAGAGAAAATGTTGAGATAAAATCTGGTTTTCTAAAAGGCACTGTATTCCATCCGGATTTCACAGAGGGTGTCTACATTTCGAGAGCAAACATGTTACAAATAAGCAGATAGGGATGAGTGGAAATGACCATGGAGGATAGCTGAGAATGCGGCCTTTTCTGAAATGAGGCCAGCAAAGGGCCGGCATTTTCAAGCTCCTTCTAGTCCTCCGTCCCATGAACACAAAGGGAGAAAACTTAGTTTCTTGAAACTGTTATGAAAATGGAAATAGCCACAAGGGAGAAAGGCACATATTGGGATTTCCTCAGCTGTTCTAGCTGTGCAAGTGCTCAAGGAGCTCTGGGGTCTATTTCCTTGTTCTAGGGTTAGGAAGCTGCTCATCAATCTCATTCAGAGACAGAGAGAGATAAGGCGCAGGCCTCTGCATGCTCACATGGAGCACTTGTCCCCTCTCTTATTCTTACCGCCTCTCACCTCCTCCTGTGGCTGACACCTTCTCTTTCTTTGGATCTTGGCTGAAGTGGCTTTGCCACAAATAACCCTTCACCAACTAATCAACCAACCAACCAGCCAACCAACCAATATGTTTGATACACATATGGTGAATAAACAAATCTCAAAACACAGTATTTTAAGCAGATCAGAAGTCAAGAACCAAAATGAAAAAAAAATTTTAGGAAGGGAAAAAAGCGTAGGAAGGAGATGGAAATAATAAATTAGCTTATTGAAGAAACTGATATATATACTAGAGGCCCGGTGCATGAAAATTCATGCACTGGAGGGGGGGTCCCTCAGCCTGGCCTGCCCCCTCTCACAGTCTGGGAGCCCTCAGGGGTGGGAGGTGACCTGGCAATCAGGGGAAGCCGATGCCCCATCACACCTCTGCTGCTGCCACTGTACACCTCTGCTGCTGCCACTGTTGGAAGTGCAAGCCTTGGTCAGCCCTGGTTACCTGAGCCTCAGGTGGCCCTGGGCAGCTGGGCAGCCACCATCTGAGGTTCCCTGTGGCTTGGGCCAGCCCTGGGTGGCTGGGGGGCTGAGGGGACTAGGGGACTCTGGAGGCAGGTGTGTGGCAAGGCTGAGGGGACTGGGCGTCGCCATCTTGTGGCTATGGGTGCTGCCATCTTTGAGGGCATGGCAGTCAATTAGCATATTCCCTCCTTATTGGCTGTGAGTGCCGCCATCTCTGAGGGCATGACAGTCAATTAGCATATTCCCTCCTTATTGGCTGTGGGCACCACCATCTTTGTAGCCTGCTGCTCAGTCCTTTGATTGTCCCTCACTAACCCCCCTGCCAGCCTGGTCACCCCACACAGCCTGTTCGATTGTGATGGTCAGTTGTGACGGTCACTTAGGCTTTTATATAGAGAGATATATGTGAGTTTCTTTGACATCTGTAATTAGTATTAGCCAAGGAAAAAATTAAACCATGATGAAACATAAAAAGAAGACTCCAAATATTATAGAATGACAATGATTTTTCTTCCCAGTCATTAACAATCAATTGAGCTCTAATGGGAAGTGAAATAAATGTGGCTAATAACACTTATATGTATTTCTACTAAATCAAGTCTGAAAGCTATCAACACAAATGAATCAATTTTGCAAGATTTTGCACAAGACCTTTGTATTCATAAAAGCAACTTTGACTTGGCTAAGACTCCTCTTTCATCTCATTTAGACCTCACAAAACTCCCATGATTTAGGGCAGATATTACTATATTCATTTAATAGGTGAGGAAATTGAAGCAACTAGAGACTACGTGAATTTTGGGCTTCCTAAATTCTATTGTCATAAGAGAAGTATTGGTTTATTTTATTTTGACAATAGGATATAAAGGTTATAGTAAACTGTAAATAAAGTTGCTTGTATTAACTGTAGGTTAAATACATTTTTCAGTGTTTTAACAGAAAGTGGCTAGATAATGTGCTCATGAGAAAAAAGACTAGATTTAGTTCTCAGAAAGTGAATGGAAAAACAAAAAAGAGTTCTCCAAAAGACTGATTTATTTGTGGGAATTGGAGCAGTTTCATTTGTTGGACAACTATGAGTGATATTTTAATTCTCTTAAAAAATTAGAACTGTGAAATCTCAAGGAATTTTTATATCTTTTAAGTGGCAAAGTAACTGCTGGAAGACATTCATAAGTTAAACATTTTAAAGGATAATGCCGCAAGTAGTGGGAAGAAAAGTCAGTGTTTATAATCCTCATTCCTCTAACAGTGAAAACAAATACAGGATTCAAGTAGGGGGAAAAAATCTGTGCATTAAGTATACTCTTAGCTTTATAAATTGGTTTGGAAACAGAAGTTTTCATGGGGTAAGTCATAAATGGGGAAAATACTTTTAGGAGATACTCGAGGTAAATGAATTTGACTTCAGTATTTTTCATTCAAGCACACAGAGTTATTTTTAGTTGTGATTATTTTCAAACACAAAATTCAGTATGTAATTATATGTATGTGTTAATAAAGTCTATGTGGGTATATAAAGTGAATGTGGCCATATTTCTGTCATTCATTTAATAAATATCTATTGAGCACCAATTATGTGCCAGCCATGTTCTAGATGCAGGGATGCTAGGAGCTGGGTGACAACAGTGAACAATGTAGTTGCAATCCCCGCATTCACTTACACATGTATACAAAAATATCACTGATTGAAAGCATCAAAGATACTTTCTTTTCATTTAAATAAAAAATAAAATCTGGGATAGGAAGAGATTCTCAGGTTTGGAAAAGTCCGTGTCACTGTAAATACACAGAAGACATGATACACAAATGCACAGCACAGGAAAAAGTTCTCCCATTCAGTGAAAATAAGAAACAGCTGAAAGCAACAACAACAAAAATATTTTTTTTAAAGATTATTCATTCAATAACTATTTGTTCTCTTCCAAGAACTTGGGCTGGTGCTAGAAATAGAACAATTTGGTATCATATAGTTTTTTCATTGTTTGTGTTTTCTTTTTCAGTGAGCTGAATGCCCAATTAAACAAAGAATTAAGTAAATTGTGATACAGGTTCTGAAAGGGATCATAAGGAGGGCTGTGGGAGCATATAGTAGGTAACCTAACCAATTCAGAGGAGACTGGAAGGCTGCCCCAGAAAATGACATAAATTCGTTTCAGTGGCCTGAAGAATAGGATTAGGAGCTGGAGGTGGAGGTGGACAGAGCAAGAGTGTCCTAAGCTATAGGAATCAGATGTGCCCAGTTAGAGAAGACTCTGCATTGATCGGGGGTAGGAGCACCCACGGGGATAGCCCTTTCTTTACCTGTGGTTTTAAGTAAAGAAGACAATGTGCTTGGTGGTTCCAAATAAGAGTGTGGCTTCTGCAGCGGCTCAAGGGATGTAAATCACAGACGTTATGTAGCCATACACCAAGAAGGCGGTGTGTTTACGGGAATGGAGATGGGGGAGCAAAGAGCATGAAGGCGGAGCTTCTGCACCCACAGATAAAATTGCAAATAAAAGAGTGACACTGCCAATCCATCCAGTGCACCGCACAAACGCCTACTTTCAGGTAGAGGGAAGCAGATAAGAAGCCCATTTCCACTTTTGTTGGTGGGATCCATACTCCGAAGAGCAGACAGAGCCTTCCCACAGTAACCCCACACATGACTGAAACCAGTTTCTGGCAGGTCATTCTTAAACCTGGAGTGCACCACACTCGCTGGCCACGGGGACGCCCTGCCCAGTGGTTTTATAGCTGCACAGCATTTCCAGATGACCAGGCTGGAAAGGCTTAGATTGCTTTCCCATCCAAAGGCACCGAGTTGGATCAAAAGGGGGAAAAAATCCTATTAAAATGAATCAGTCCATGATGTAATTTTTACTACATCAATGGCAGAAATGAAGCGTTTTTTGATTTTACATCTCCAACTTGGTATATGATGAATTAGTTTCACATACTAAACCCAAAGGCCATGAGAAGAGTGTTTCCAACATGCCGGAAACAAATTATGTGACAGAAGCAGGAAATGTTTAAAAAACACATCAAAAATTATATTCCAATTACAGCATTGTCGGGGATGAATGCTGCAGGTCAGATTACATATTATACGCTACAGATTCCTATTTACAATTCCCTGTTTAGACCCGTTGCAAGTTTATAGAAATGATTTCCGTTTTAACTGAGGCATTTCTTGCACTTAATTTCAGTTGACTAATAAAACTTCTTGATAAAAAAGAAAAACAACCAATCTAGTTGATTTCAATTTCCATGTGGTAAGAAAGCTAACATTTATTGAGAGTTTACTATGTGTGAGTCAGTATGGTAAATGATTTGCATTAATATAAAAAGTACGAACAGTATTCCTTTGAGATGAACATGGTCTTGTAAAAGAAAAAAGTTCCTTTACTATTGGAAAATTACATTTTAAAAATGTGTGATTAAAGAAACAATTATTGGCCTATATTCCAAAAAATGAAGCTTTAAAAGTATATCTTCTGAAGCATAAAATTCTGTACATAAGTTCACATAGGCGTAGTTCAGACTTGGCATAATTTTTTTTTAACTTGAAGAAACTGCTCTCTGTTTAGAAGATTTCCTGTCTTTAAACTGAGGTGGCAACTATGGCCCAAGGGCCAGATCAGCTACCCACCTGTTCCTTGTATAGCCCACGAGCTAAGAATGGACTTTATATTTTATATAGCTTTAAAAAATCAACAATAACACTTCACAATACATGAAAATTTCACCAATTAAGATTTCAGCATCCAAAGTTAAAAAGCATAGGGCACAGCCATACTCATTTGTGTATCTATTGTCTACAGGCGCTGGCACACTACAACGACAGAGCTGAGTTGTTGCGACAGAGGTCATCTGGCCCACAAAACCTAAATATTAATTTCCTGGCCCTTTATAAGAAAAGTTTTGTTAATTTCTGCTTCTAAGCAAAACAAGCAAAGTCAAATATAACACAGGTTTACATATCTAGAGTTTGAAACTTTGACTTCGAGAATCATCGAGGTATATCATCGTTCTCATTAGTATTAAATATATTCATGTCCTATTTGATTTCAGCATGATACTTAAATTTGGCAGGTAAATAGAATGGGCCTACATCAGTGATTCGCAACTAGGGGTAATTTTGTCTTTAGGGAACATTTGGCAACGTCTTGAGATGGTCTTGGTCGTCACAACTCAAGGATGCTACTGGCATGCAGTGGGTAGAGCCAGGAATGATGCTAAATATCCAACAGTCCCCACAACAATGATCTGGTCTTGTCAGTTGTGCTGAGGCTGGGAAACCCCAACCTCCAAGAAGCTGAGAGTCTACCCTAATTGTTGAGTGTGTTTCCATGGCTAGACTGCTCCATGAATACGAACATTCCTGCTACTTGGTGACATTAATTCATTCCTGCCACCATGCCATAGTTATATTAATATTCATAAGAATGAGAAAGGTAAAATTCTCTTTATTTTATGGGTATGTTTTTATGAGTAACCATTACCCATCTGTATTGAAATAATTTCCAAAGTGGAATGTTCTTATTCTGAACTATAAGCCTAAATAAATAATTCCGTTCTTTTTTTTCAGTACTCAACCAATTTAGGTTGATTTAAATTAAAATATGACTGATATTCTATTCTCAGTTTCTTAAAAAAGATATTTTCCTTCATTCTTCACAGATAGCACAAGGGGAATAAAGTATCTTCCTTAAGTCAAAGATGTCTGTCAGTCTGAACTGAGGCAAAAGCTGCCATGATCGTTGGAGGGAAAAAGAGAGGGAGTAGGAAGATGAGCCACAAGACCACTGTACTGTGAACTGTTTAAAAGACCAAAAATAACGACAAAAGGCTGACAAAATATCCAGATTGAGTACATTTCAAGTTGAGGCAAATCTTTGACTGCATTTGAGAGTCTAATCAAGTGACATTTACTCTCGAACTTTTAAATCTCACCCCAATCCTCTGACGTGTTCTCTCTTAACATTGCGACAAACAGAATCACTTTAGAAATGCTATTTGTATATATGCAGATAAAGGGAGTGTGCCCTTTACACATGAATAAGTGTTATTCCTTGAAAGCCTGGAAACCTAGCTATACATTTTCTGAAATTTGTGACATACCATTTTATGTTTAAAATATTTAAATTTATGCTATGAGCTTGAAGAATAATCACCTTTTATATATTAAATATTTAAATGTTTTCTAAATTTGTAGAATTTTCTATTTTCTTATGAAACAAAGGTACTACCATTCACATATCTTTTTCAAAATTTCCCATTTTCATATATACAGAATACTCTTTCTTGCTCATACACATACTCTTTTGTATTTGCCAACACTGTACCTTTTCGCCCGCATCACCTTTGGGACCACTCTCGCCAGCATCTCCCTAAGAGGGGGAAAAAAGCGATACTTGTAAAATACATTGGTGACATTATACAAAGAGGATTTTCCATTATTTTAAGTTTTCTTTCAAAAGCACCATATATTAAAATCTGTTGCAAATGTTCTACTTGAGCAGCTGACTGATATCACTGGTCTAAATAGATTTTTTACAATGAACATGGCTGAGCAGTTTTAAATTACTCCATGATATTAATGAAAAGGAGCAATTTCTCTGACTTCCAGTAGCTTATCCTGGCACTTACAGCTTCCTTCACTCGATCTCTTTCTCCTCTGCTCAAAACTCCACTGTAACACAGACTTTCTCCTGACTGTTCCCGCAATGTGCCACATGCCTCACCACCTCTGTGCCTATCCCGCCACCTGGACCCCTGGCTCCCCCTTTCCCTTTGATCTGTCTGAATCCCACTCTTGTCTTGAAGCCCATCTCAAATCTCCAGGGCCTCAAAGTGCATGAGTCAGCCCTCAAGACCTGTGCCCTGAATATCGGACTTATCTCTACTTATATGTTTTGCATTTGTGAAGTAAATGTTTTTGATTTTGTTACAAAACTGCTTTTTTAAATCAAAACTTGGGGAGTTTATGTTTCCTTGGTTATTTTTGAGATTTCCTATGCCTATTCCCTCACTAACATCTCCTTTCTATCCACAAAGCAATGCATTAGGAAAAAAAAAGTCAGCTGTTTATTACCCATGCTTTGCTTCCTTAAATTCTGAATTCTTTGTGTTTCGTAGCATGTTATGGTGGAAATATCATGGATTTGGAGCCAGAGAGCCTAAGCGCAACTCCAAAACTGACTGAGCAAATGAAATTTTCTATGCATCGTATTTTTCATGTGTGACATAAGGGCAAGAATACTTTATGGGGTGGTAAGAAATAAACAATGTACTGTGTGTAAAGCAGCTAGGACAGTCTCTGACACAAGCTGTTAGCAACAACAATGCATTATTGTTCTTACACTCCATAAGCCCTCTGTCTGTCTTCAGAAGAGGTCACTTTTTTTTCACTTAAAAATTTCCTTAAAATAAGAGAGAAACTATTGATGACTGTTTCCCTGAGAGAAGGAGGGGTGGCGAGGGAGGAAGACTTTTTTTTTCTTTTTCTCTAGCGTCTTTTCTTGTTTCATAAGCATGAAACTAACCTGCTCAGGCCTTTGTCTGGTGACGGATACCCCACTGCAGCCTGGAAGCCTGAGCTACTTTATCTGAGGAGCCTGGATGGTGCTGGCTCTGCCCCTTTTTCCTCCTGAGTGTCCACACAAAAGAGTCATCGGGTGACTAATTAACTTCAAGTTAATTACCATGAACTGGCTGGATGCCATGTAAATGTACTGATAATCTGTTATGAGGGACCTCAATAGGCAGCATACTTAAAAAATTGCTTGCAAATCCCTTTATTAAAAAACAAAAGCAAAGAAACTAACTTTCTCATTAGGAAAACAGGCTCAGAGCAGACAGACATGGGACAGAGGGTCTGAGTGTCCCCTCTGGTTTGCTCTCCTGCCATTTAAATAAGTGGCTTTTGTTCCTTTTGTTTTTCAACACCTAAATTAGAGTTACATTCAAACGTTTGCTGGATCTTTAGAGGTATTTCTTTGGGGAGGAGAGGTGATGATACTGATTTGTCAGAAAGATCAGATCACTTATGAAGAGCATTATGGAGTATCTGGAAGTTTCCTGGCAGACAGCTCACTTCTCAAACACTATAAAGAAGCATGAGAACCAGGAAAATTAGCTTTACAATATGCTCTGAGAGTCTAAAAATGATCAGGACATGCCCAAAGGTAGTAAGGAAGGACAGCAAAGAGAAATTTAACATATGGCACTCTTCTTCTTTTGTTTCTCTTTTTGGTTTTTATGGGAATTCTTTGTGGGGCAACTCTCAGTATATTCGCTCCGGTAAACATCTGTATCCCTTTAACTCAGTGACCTAAGAAGCAGCAGAGAGATGTGGATGCTCAGAAAAGCACTGGAATGGCATTAGTGAGCAGGGAGAAAAGAAATTTTGCAGGCCCAGGGATTTCTGAAAGTCATTTAAACTCCAGACATAGAATGTTTAAATTTGCTCCTTTTCCCTCCATTTCTTTAAGCCCTTTAAAAATTTCTTTCTATACATAAGAATTACACAATTTTCTCCTTCCACTAATTAATTATGAAAAAAACTGGTCATTATATCTATATCTATACATCTATATCTAAATCTATTCATCTGTCCATACTTTATACAGTTCTGCTTGGTACCTCTTTGGGGGAAGGGGAGGGGGGGAAAGATAAATGTGGGTAGAATAAACCTCACCTTTTCTCCTCGCTCTCCAGGTTCTCCCTGGAGGAGAATAAAAGAACAAAGATTGAGTGACATATTAAATTGTAAAATACCCAATTAAGCAATACCAAACAAAATCAGATATTGAACATAGTTGATAAATCATATGTGACCCTTTTGGGGGGCAATATATAGTTGCTACATGAAAACAAATGGTAATATGAGTTTCTGGGAGAATTGGGCATGGATATCAATATAAAATAAAATCTTAATTCTTTGCCTTTAGAGGACTAAAGAAAGATATTTAAGATTATCATCCTTAAACTGGGCTCTAAGGAGAACAGTGAGGTGGCAATTTAATGTCTTGGGCAGTTTTTTAGTTTAGGACTTTGTATTCTGCCTGAACTCAGAATCAGTAAAGTGAGTGAGCACATCTTTGCACGAAGTCTTTATTCAAAGCAGCCCCTGGTACATGGACTATTTCAGGGTTTCAGAGTCCCCCTGTAGTTCTGTCTTCTCCTATCATAACCATAAATACAGTCCTGAACTTGGACCCCTTCACAATGTCGTGAACTCTCTTTACCCTACCGGTAACCAGCATGTTTCAAATCAGGTGTACTTTGGGAGGCACTGGCACCTTCAGGAAAAACACCAGGATGGCAGAATCAAAGTGAGTTTAGGTGAATGTCTTTACTCAGAATGATGACCCCGTCACTATGTGGACTAAAGTGAAAAACCGTGCTCTGCAAAGTATCTCATTTTCACTTTACCCGGGAAGGGACACGGGATGGCGTGGGAGAGTTCTAAAGTAAATTATACACGTTATGAGAATATTCCCTTTACACAAAGTGTAAGTGCTGCCATGAGATCAACTGCTTTGAAAATGGTTTAAGGTGATTATTGTGTTTTTAAAAATTATAACCCACTCTAGAAGTCAGTTTGGAGTCAAGATTATTTTCATTCACTGGAAGTCAGCCTGACACTTTGGCTTTCTGAATTTTCTGACTACCTTTCAGCGCTCACCATCCATCGAGGGTTGCTAGGCAACAGAAGAATAGCACTGAGAACAGGCCTTGAGCATTAACTCCTACCATTTGGCTCTTTAGCAGGAACAAGAGAGGGAACAGACCAGGAGAATGGCCGTAGAGCCAGAAGAAATATCTTCTTTCCTCTTTTACAGGACAAAGGACAGGTCTACAGGTTTTAGGTCCATCCTAAGTGCCTGTCAATAGCAATGTGATCTGTAAAATCAGCTGACAGGCATCTGTGAGTATGGATAAACACCAGCACAGCTGACAGGATTAGACGTTAGTTTTGTACTTCAAGGGATGTTCACTCATCAAAGGATTTGGGATTTGTCTGCCTGTTTGGTTTAAACTAAACTGTCACCAATCTTTTTATATTTAACAGATTCATTTGTTCTTTAAGAAACAAAGAAAACTTGCAATCCAAAAAAAATAATCTTCATTACATTTTTTCCCTGTTTAGTAATTGACTACATCCATTTTTAAATTTTAAACATGCCACGTCTTTATTCTGCTCTTCATTTGATTAACTGGTTGTGTTGTGTAAGTGCTAGAGGCCGCCAAATCTTGAGGAAAAGCAACAGCGGCACTGAGAACAGCATCTTTAGTGAGTTGTGTAACTAGAATACAAATTTTAGGCAGTATGGACATGGCCTACGTTTGAATATGCTCCTATTAAGTGTCAAATGACAACACTCATATTTGAAACATGGACTTTCTCACGTTAAGTGTCCTAGAATATAGGTTTTAGATGATTTTATTTTGCATTTGTAATGCTAACAAAAATCACAAGTATAATTTATTCATTAGTCACAAAGTTCTGTACTATAGCATATTATACTATTGACAAAAACAATGATAACAAATAGGTAAAATCAGTGGAATATTAAAAAAATTGTATTAGTTTACAATGTCATGAAAATTCATGTCTCAAATAATTTTACTTAAGTTTTATTTGTACTGACCTTTGGCCCTGGTATTCCGTTCTGTCCCACTGCTCCAGGCAACCCAGGCTCACCCTCAAAATAAAAAAAATAGGTATTATTAAATAAAATAGACAAAAATCAGCACATTATATAAATCATTGGAAGATATGGTCATCTAACAATGCTCTAAGTGTAGGTAGAAAGTAAGTGTCTGCCAGTGTAAATACAAGTTAGTTTATTTGGTCCCCCCAAAAAGTGCTAAGCACCAAAGATAAAACTGGGCTATAATTTTTTTTGATTAGTCTTTTCTCCATTAAGAAAGCAAAAGCAACTTATCAATGTGAAATGAGCATCTACCATGGTACTGGGTACATTGTAGGCAACAAATAAGTATTTGTTGCATGAGTAAAAGACATCTGAACACATAAGACTTTTAAGTGATTGGTCAGTTCAGGAAAATATAGACTAAATCATTATACAATTAGACTTAATCAAATGAGCATTTCCAAATCTAAAGCGTGAAGAACAGACACATCTACTTAATTCATTTAGACACATCTGATACAAAAGTAAAAAGTGAAAATGGCTTTGTTTTCTCTTTCCAATTTCACTGTAAAAATAATTCGAATAAAACATTCAGACGTATGGCTCTCGTCACATTGAACGATAGGAATTTGGGGAAAAGATGATGGCTATTATGCTAGAAAGCATTCCATTTCAGAAAGATGATGATGCATCCCAGTCTTTTTAGACGCTGAGCCAGCAAATGTTTACCAAGGAGGAGAAGTGCCTTGAAGGGCCCGAAGCAAAGGAGAGAGACTCTGGCTCCCAGGGCTTCCATGTGGCTCCAACTTAGAGCAACTAGAATTTCATTTTCATAAAAAGCCTTTCCAAAGCCCTTAATTATGTGCTCCAATGACTGGACCACTTTCTTCTTCCACTGAGGGATGTAAAGTTGCTTCTTAGTTAATTAAAAAACAACAACAAATTTCATTCTTAGATTAGTTTTAGTTTCACAGCAAATTTAGTTGATTTTTAAGCACATTTTGTAAGTCACCTGGGGGGCAGGGATTGTGCCATTTTAATATTGGTGCTCTCAGAAAACATACATATGAACATATACAGATATGAAAATATGTACATTAATGATCATGATAGTAGTAACATTTAAGTGCCAGGAATGTTACATTCACTAACTCAATTATCACAAATTTCTATGAGTAAGTACTATCTTTATCTCTGCCTATCAGATGAACAAAGTAAAGCACAGAAAGGTTAAATAATTTTTTCAGATTTACACAACTACAGGCAAGGTTTGAACTCTCACAATCTGGCATAAGAGACTGTGCTCTTAACAATATGATGCACTGCTGAATGAGTGAATGCATCCACAGCTCGGGAGAGAGTAGATGATGAGTATTCTATCCCCATTATCAGTCAGTTTATACTTCTCATTTATAAGTGCCCTTTCAGAATGTATAGAAACCTGAATTAAATATTACTTATAAAGGCGATTTTTGTACATCTATCAGATAAATTAAGCAATGTGAAGCTTATGGGATCTTTCTAGAAAAGAAAAAAATGTTTTACTATTATACTGGATTATTATAATTGTGAAAGTCTTAACTTCATGCAAGAAATTCTGTTTCCTATATCAAGTTACACTATAATCATAACTCTTGCACTTTCCTTGCTAAAATGGCAAACTGCTATCTTGGAATAACGCTGGCCATTATAGGAAATTTTTGATAGACCATTTGTAAATCAAAAGGGTAAGAACTTGGAAATAGAATCCACTCCGAAAGAGGACTATGATTTTACTGTGCAACCAGAAAAAGAGCTATCCAGTCTACTTTCTTCAAAGACTACAACAGGATGTGCTAATGTCCAAACATATGGTTGAATGCAAACAATAGATGCTACAAGGGAACAATACAAACTTTATTTAGACTTTCAAAGAATAACCATGGTAATAATAATAATAATAATAATAAATAAATAAATAAATGGTCAAGCCCAGCATAAGTTGTGTAAATAGTATGCAAAATTTAGGCAGTATGAACATGGCCTATGTTTTAATATACTCATGATAAATGTCAAATGACAACAGTCATATTTGAAACTTGGACATTCTCATGTTATTTAAGTGTCCCAGAATATAGGTTTTAGACAATCATATCCTGCATTTGTACTGCTAACAAGAATCATAAACATAATTTATTCATCAGTCACAAAGTTCTGTACTGTAGCTTATTGCTAGTATACTATTGGGAAAAAAAGCAATTATTTCCAGTGGGATATTTAAAAAATTGTAATAGTTTATAATTTCATAAAAACACATGTCTCAAATGATTCCACTTGGTTTTACTTGTACTAACCTTTGGTCCTGGTATTCTGGACAAAATATATGCTGAGATTTTGAAGCAAGGAAGAGAAACATTGCTTAGGTATCTACATAACATCTACCTTAATATATGGACATTGAGGGACTAAAACTTGATCCCTTTTTTCCTAGACTTTATACATTTTTAAAATAATATTTTAACATAAAAGGAAACAAATAAAAACTGCACCCATGATCCCATCACCCTATAATAATTATTTTCGTTTTGTCCTGTTTCCTTCTAGTCTTTTTTTTTATGTATGCTTACATATTTTTAAGCAATTGTCAGCTGATTACATAGTCTGACCTGTTTTTTATTATTATTTCACTAGAGGCCCGGTGCATGAAATCTGTTTGTGCAAACACTGTAAATACGTGTTTAAAAATGTAATATTTTATACAAGATACACTGGAGAACAAAGGGAACTCAAGGTTTTTCCACTTCCGCAGTCCAGCTGCCTATCAGCTCCTTCACTGGGGCTCCTGTGGTGCCCCACATATTGAACAGGGTGACTGTATGATACAGATTGTGATCCAGGATTTTTTTTTTTTCTGTACAAATTTGTTTTTTAAAAAAGCAGCTCTTTGAATTACCTTGCAATGGTGTGTTTGATTCTTTTTTAAACTGTTCTCCCGCATTGTGCAATTTTAAAATAAGTAACTTAAGCTTATATAAATCTTGAATTGTATACTCAAAAATAAAGGGTAGGGCCCCTAGGTCTGGCCAGCGATCAGGGCCAATTGGGGCCTTCCAGCTGCTGGCCAGAGCCTCCCTTCCCCAGCTGCCAACTGCTGGCCGGGGCCGTCCTTCATTCCACGCCATGCCCTGGTGGTCAGCACACATCATAGTGAGCAATCAAACTCCCAATCTCCCAATTGAACTACTGAGGAGACAATTTGCATATTAGGCTTTTATATGTATAGAATATAGATATCACACATTTGTTTTCACACACTATTCATGATTGTCTTGCGAATAGTTGAATTATCATTTACCAAAGTTAGGTTTGAACCTGTTTAATCTGTCCCAAATTGTTGAATACTTAGGTAATTGCCATTTTTTTTGCTATCCTATATGATAGAGAGGTAATATGCAAATTGACCCTCACACCCTCACACAAGATGGCCGTCCCCATGTGGGCACAAGATAGCTGGCAGGAGAGGGCAATTGTGGGCAATCAGGCCAGCAGGGGAGGGCAGTTAGGGGTGACCAGGTCAGCAAGGGAGGACAGTTGGGGCGACCAGGCCTGCAAGGGAGGGCAGTTTGGGGCAATCGGGCCAGCAGGGGAGCAGTTAGGCATCGATCAGGCTGGCAGTGGAGTGGTTAGGGAGTGATTAGACTGATAGGCAGAAGCTGTTAGGGGCAATCGGGCAGGCAGGCAAGTGGTTGGGAGCCAGCAGTCCCGGAATGTGAGAGGGATGTCTGACTGCCGATAGGGATCAGGCCTAAACCGGCAGTCAGACATCCCTTGAGGGGTCCCAGATTGGAGAGGGTGCAGGCTGGGCTGAGGGATCCCTCCCCCAGTGCACAAATTTCATGCACCAGGCCTCTAGTTAAACATAAACTAAAAAAATCAACTCTGCAAATATTTCTTAATTGCTTTCCAAAAAGGTTCTGAGTTTTATCTGCATGTATAGGCACCCAGTCTGTTACTTTTCCACAATTTCATCAGCACTGTATATCACAATTTTAATAATTTTTGGCTATTTTAATAAGCACAGAAGAGTTACTGTTGCTCAGTTTTGCATTTATCACTTGTAAGGTTAAATATTTTCCATGTGTTTATAATTTAAATACATATCTCATAAAATTTTAAAGCTAAAATTTGAATAAGCTTTTCCTAAGTGAATCAAAAGAAAATGAAATGAAGAAGGAAAAAAATGACTCATAGAACTTCACCTTTTAAATAAATTATATCAAGAAAAATATATGCAAACTTAGATTAGGAGGTTTTGGAGCATTCTGTTGTTATCCAAAATTAGTTTCTTGGGTTGTGAGAAAGAAATGTTAAAGATAAAATGCTGTACAACTTTGTGTACCAAGGTCAGGTTATGGGGTACTGAAAGGCATTAATTCAGTGATGGCGAACCTTTTGAGTTCGGCGTGTCAGCATTTTGAAAATTCCTATCTTAACTCTGGTGCCGTGTCACATATAGCAATGTTTTGATATTTTCAATCATAGTAAAACAAAGACTTATATTTCTGATATTTATTTTATATATTTAAATGCCATTTAACAAAGAAAAATCAACCAAAAAAATGAGTTCGTGTGTCACCTCTGACACGCGTGTCATAGGTTCACCATCAGTGCATTAATTCATTCAACTAACACTGAATTTAGTGAAAATTTATTTTATACACTACTCTGGGCTTTTTCATGGTATATAAAGATGAAACAGACATGGCAAATGTCTGTGTCTAAAGAGCTTATTTTTGAGTGAGAAAATATATATACAAAAATAGCTTGGGGCATCTAATTGAAGTAATAGATTGTTTTTTAAAATGTATTTGATTGATTTTTTTAGAAAGGGAGGAAGGAAGAAGAATAGAGAGATAAAAAATATCAATACATCGGCTGCTTCCTGCATGACCCCCACCGGGGATCGAGCCTGCACCCCTGGCATGTGCCCTGATTGGGAATTGAACTGGTGGCCCCATGGTTCCTTGGTTGATGCTCAACCACTGAGCTATACTGGTCAGGCGATAGAC